TCAGGCTCCTGCTGCCTCCGTGAAGGGGGGAGTCCCCGGCGGGCCGTGAAGGGAGCAGCAGCTGCGAACATAACCATTTGTCTCTGCTGTAAACATGATTAGTGCTGGATCCGGGCGCGGGTGGCGGCGGGGGCGGCTCTGCCGATGTTTAATGACAAGGTGAGGTATTAATGGGGGGTTGCAGTGCTGGCCAAGCTGATTTCCCAGTGCCTGAAACACTGGCAGCTCACGGAGGGCAGGGGGTGGGTGGGCGGGCAGGAGGAAGAGGGGACCGCAGGTTCCCATGGGCCTGAGTGGGCACTGGGGTGAGGACAGGGACCCAGGATACCTGTATTCCTGCCTCAGTTCAAGCACAACTTGGTGTGTGAGTGCAGACTTGTGTTACTATGTCCCTTTGGGCCTCAACACTCCTCACCCCACTCAAAACATTAACCCTTGCTGTGCCCTGCCCCAGCAATGTATACCACGCACTCCTCCCCAGGGGCTGAGCAGTGCCTGGCACTGGGGTAGGGGGACAGAGGGGAAGGCACCAGCCCCATTGGAGCCAGCCAGGGACTGTGATAGTGTGGAGAATCAGAGGAAGACTGCTCTGAGTCCACAGCCCTGCCTAGCCTTTCCCAGGTAGTCTGCAAAGGGACCTGGGGCCAGGACTGAAGGGAAGAGACTGCCCTCAGTTAACTGACTACATGTGTGTGTGTGTGTGGGGGGGGGGGGGGGGGGTTTTACAGACAGACACATACAAACAAACACAAGCCCTGACATTGGTGGGGGGAGGCAGAAAGTAGCGTGTGTATATGGGTAGACAGACAGATACACACACACACACGTGTGCCTTGATATTGGTGTTTGGGGGACAGAAAAGAATGTGTGCGCGCGCGCGTGTGTTTTGTATATGTACAAACAGCCAGACACACAGAAGCCTTGACACTGATGGGAGGCTGGGCTGGGGGGGGCAGAAGGAAGGAGTGTGTGTGTAGACAGACACACACACACATGCACACATACACACCCTGACATCTCTGCAGGGGCAGCAGGAAGGAGAGGGGGTTTTGCTCTCTGGGCTCCTGCACCCCTGTCCCTGCCAGCTCAGCCCTGTCCAGGCCAGGGCCCCGCCTGGAGAAGGCTGCTTCTGCATCACATTTCCATGCTGTGCTTGCCAGCCTCCCCCGCCCCAGCCCCCGCGGGGACTATGAGCAAAGAACCAATTCGTCACCTGCTTGGTCGGTCGGAGCCTTTGCAAGAATTACAATCAGCTGGAAAAACCCCGTCTGCAGCGTGCGTGGGTTTTGCGGGGGAGGGGAGGGTGGGTAGGCGGCCGCTGGTTTTCCAGCAGGATTACTACCTGCGTCAGGTGATGGAGTGCCCTTGGCTCCTGGCAATGCCTTTGGGCGGTAGGCCCATAAAGCCCTGCATGGTGGAGGCAGGTTCCCTGCCCAGTACAAATCACAGCTCCTCTAGCTCATTACCCCTGTGATTCTCAGCCGGGTGCTACAGTGCCCTGGGGGAGCTGTGAGCTCCTTTTAAAAGTGCCGCAGGGGCACTGTGCAGTATTAGCTATGCAAACGTTGGTGCAGAGTCACAAGAGAGTCCAAGCGCTTTCCAGCAGGAATCCTGTGAGGCCAGAACAGCCTGCGAGTGCTTTGCCAGGGAAGAATCACTCTGTTCATGTCTGTAGTCCAGCGACGCATGAAAGCAAGAGCTGGCATTTGCCGAGGGACCTTAAGTCTGCAAAGGTTGAGGCGAACTGCGTTAGACCCAGCACTAAGACACAACCCAGGAGTCCTGGAGCCCAGCCTCACCCGCATCCAACTCTAACGCAGGGGATGGGGGGGCCACTCCCACGGAGCTCAGCACAGTCTTGGGTGGACTCTGGGCACTGCCTGAACATGCTGGGGAGACAGTCTCACTCTAGATGGGTGATCAATGATCATGATCAGCCCTGTCCAAACCATCACAACCCCATTGTCTGACTGCTGAGCAACATGACAATCACCCCTGACAAAGCACCAGGCATCATCCCCACCCCAGGGATAGCAGGGGAGTCGCGCCTGCCATTGTCCTGCTGCTGCAAGGTTGGGGGAGGGGTCATAGACACTAAAGTGATCCCAGGCAGAGGCTGTGCCCCTGCTGCAGAGGAAGGGGACCCCCTACCCCATCTATACCAGCCTGACCAGGGGTGAAATTCCTTCCTGCCCCCAGTGCAGCATCAGAGGGACAAGACCCTCTACCCAGGACCCTCCAGCTTTGGTCCCAGCAGGAGCATTTGCACAGCCCCATTCTTCCATCCATTCACGCTGTCCCACGGTCCATCCAGCCATTCAGACTGATCATCCATGCCATCCGGCCAGCCCCATACAGACCTCGCGGCCCACCAGCCCCATTCAGACCTGTCTCTTTCCCCATACAAACCTAGCTACTCCATCTACCCAGCCATCCATCCAGCCATTCAGCCTTCCACCCATCTGTTTTTCTATCTGCCCATCTGTCCATCCATTTGTCTGTCTATCCATCCATCTGTCCTTACTTCCTTCCACCCATCCATCCATCCATTTGCCTATGTGTCCGTCCATTCATCTGTCTGTCCATCTCTCTGTCTGGCCTTCCATGTGTCTGTCTGTCCAGCAGTTCATTGGTCCAGCCACCTATCTGTCTGTCCATCTGTTTGTCCACTCGCGCTTCCCCCCTTCCATCCGTCTGTCCATCTGCATGCCAGTCCATCCAGCCACCCATCCATCAGTCCATCCATCTGTCTGTCTGTCCAGCCACCCCCATCTGTTCATCTGTCCTTCCATCTGTTCAGCTGTCAGCTGGTCTGCCTATCCATCTGTCTTCCCATCCGCCCACACCTCTGTTCTCGCATCCACCCCTGGGGCCAGGGTCAGCAGGGATCCGGGGGGAGGTTACCTAGGGGCAACTGGGCCAGGTGGGTCGGATCGGGGAGGTGACCCCGATGGGTTGGGGGGAGGGATTGTCCCGGGGACCGCACGGGGACCCGCGGCCGCTGGGGTGCGTTGTTGCCATAGTGACGCTGGGGTCCCCCCAAACTGGGCTTGCTGCTGCCAGCACCGGGCTGCAGAGCTGGGATGGGGGGCTCCGCACCCCCCCCCCCCTCGACTTCATGGGGTGCGCGTGTGCACAAATGTGCGGGTGCGGGTGTATGTGCGTGTGTGCGCCCGTGAAACGAGCGTGCCAGGCCGCCTCCCGCGCACTGCGGTAGTGACCGGGTGCATGTGCGGGGTATGCAGGGCTGTGCGTGTGCGCGCTCCCGGGGCCAGAAGCAACCCCCCCCCCGCCCACGCGTGCTGCCCTGTCCCTCGTGGGCCCGCGCCCGGCT